CAGTCCCGATATCAATCCGTTGGATTATTTTGTATAGGGCGTCATCCAACGGGATACCAATAGAACCCCTCACACCACACTTAAGTCGCTAAAAGCTAAAATCAAGGCAGTGATGACATCTATGGATCGAAACATTTTAAAACGTGCATACTGCAGTTTCCGGAAGCGTCTAACTACTAAATTTACTTACAACTTCCATATGTTGCGAAAGAAAATAAATCGCACAAAATTCATTGCTAGAATAACTAACCGAATTGAACCGAATAAAATATCAGAAACATTTTGGAACCTTCACAAGTCTAAAGAACTTCAGGAAAATGGTTTTCAGAACAGTTCCACTTTTTTTAGAAAAATTTAGAGAACTATCAGAACAGATCAATTGATTTCTTTAAAATAGCTGCAACTTTAAAGGAGTTCTGCGAAATCTTTTATAAAATAAAAAAAAATCGGGAAGATCAGAGAACTAACTTCCACGAAAATTTTGATGGCAGTTCAACAGTTCCAAAATCTTCAAGCAATTCCAGAGACCTTCAAAATAAGATTTGAGATTTCTGTTAGTTTAATTATAAGAAGGGAAGTTCTAAGTACTTTGAAGATGATCAGAGAGCTATAAAACAGCCTCATTAACATCAGGAAAACACCAGAAGCTTTAAAGGAAATCCGCGGAATTATGGGATATTCTGAAGGAATGTTCCGCAAGCTTTAGAGTCATTGCGAGTGTTCAGGGATATTTAATGGATGTCAGGAAAATCTGTTGAATCATATAAACATGTATTGAACTTCAGAGAATGTTGTACTAAGATCCCATAGAAATCTCTTTCTTCCGGATTTTTTTTCCATCTTATCCTCGAAGCTTCTTTCGATTGATCTGTAAGTCCTCTGACTTCTAAATTCGGACCTTCTTTAGTGCTTAAAAAAAAAAAAGAAAAATCCTGGATTGCATGCGACTTTTTAAAAAGTGTAAACGTTATTAAATATAATTAATTACAGGTAAATACTGATTTGTTAAAACATTTCAATCTCATAAGCAATCTGGCAACGCTGAAAGAAACAACGGTTGAATGACTTGAAGAAGATGTGAAAAGAGCAATATGTATGTAAAGCACAAGATAAGCGAAAGTTCATCGCTCCGAAAAAAAACAGTACGTTTTGATTTTTTCTAAAAATATTGGAAAAAGGTATCAAATATCGTAAAATTCCAGTGTTCACTCGGCTGTCGACAAAAGCAGACCACTCTCGATGTGTGCTACGCGATCGTCTGTTTTCTCGGCAGCAACCATTGTGTAGTCCTCCTCATTGTTCTTCATCAGCAGTTCTTTCGGTCGATGCGTCGTCGACTTTGGAAAGCAACCGTTTCGTGATGAGTGTGTGAGTGCTGACCACGTTTTGCGTCCATTGCTGCAATGGACGCGCTCTGACCCTCGTTGGCGTAACTGCCAGTCAATGAAACTACTAGAAGCGGCTCCAGTTCTGATGGAGAAGGCTTTTTGGATAGTGGAAGATAAAGTATTTATTGTGTTGTACCTTTTGACTATAGTTTTAAGATGTATTGTATAGTGACCAAGAATCCTCGGCTCTGTAAAGTTAATTCGGTTGAGCCTTACCAAATAAATTAATAAACAAAAAAAAAATCGTAAAATTCGCATATTTTCTAATTTTTCAATGAAAATTCACGTGCAAAACCATTTTTTATAAGTCATTAGGCATAAAATTGGACTAATTTGGAATTTTTTTCATGATGAGATAGAAAAAAAAAAATACTTTTACATATTATTTTTGACAAAAGTCCAAGGAAGAAACTGATATTTTTTTCCAATATTTTTAGAAAATGTCAGGAATCATATGAAGAAATATTCCAGGTCCTCTACGGAACTGCTTTAAATTAGTATGTTTATTGATAGTAGAAATGATTTTTTTGGTTTTTCAAAGGCAGTCGATCCCTAATAAATAAACGAATTGAAAGAAGAAAAAACACTGTTCAGGTAATGTTAATGACTCATCTGAAAAGAGAGCTCCTGAACTACTGCAAACTATCTTCTTCCATAGTTACTGTGTAAGTTTTACATGTAATGCTAGATGTTTCGATTCCTCGGGCAATTCGTGCAGTGCGTAAAAGACACATTTTTTATACGAGATTTTTTGGAAAAAAATACACTCCGGTCCACCTTTGTCAATGGAGAAAACACTTTGTTGACTTCTGAAAAATGTATGGTTCGTTTATGTTTCAGTCATACATTGATCGTTATTTCTCATAGAACATAGAAGCTCTCATAAAAAATTGACACAATTTGTTTGGGATACGGTCATAAGTCTTCGAAATACATTTCGGAAAAAAATACAATTGGAAACAAACAGTTCAGACAACATAGTTGAAGATGCTAATTTCAAATAACATTTCTTTTTTCCAGTTTGGATGGGAGATACCCCTCACCATCCCTCTCCAACTGGGGAGTTTGGTAAAGAGAGATGGTCAACCTGATTCGTACTTTCCTCAAAGTTGTCCTTGCTCGCTTTCTACTCTCTATATACAATTTTTGACACTGCCGTACTCAAACGGAACTATCAATTCGACACTTTCATCTCCACATGTATCGTTTAAAAATTACCTCTTTAGTCTGTTATTTGAAAATAGCATTAGTAAATCAGAAGTAATACAAACAAATAGTTAAATATCAGACAAGCTGAACGCTTTTGAAACTTTACTCATTCTATACTATCGCCATTATGTGAACAGTTAGTAACATACATTCATTGGATTAGGTGCAATATGTTAATTTCACTTGCTTTAGTGTACGAATTACATTAGGTGATTTTTTTTCCTGTAAACTACAAATTGATTGGAGTGTCGAAAAATGCTACTCTAATTTCTTAAAATTCCAAAGTAGACGACTTTCAGTGAGATTCATGTGAATCTGAGTATGCTCTCCATTATTTGAAGTGCATTGAAAATTGCTCTCCATGTCTCCATTTTATCAAGAATCCTATTTTCTGGGTACATTTCAAATGCACTACACAAAAGATTACAGATGTTTGTTTTTATCTTACTAGTCAAAAGCTCACCAGAACAACCTCTTTAAAAGCCTAGTGATAATACTGGACTCATGTCCAATCGCAATGAGTCGGAACGGGTTCCTAAAAAGGGTGTACTAAATCGCTGAACGATCACATCGTGGTTAAAATCGGAATCCAATTACAGTTTTTGGTGCACAAGATAAAATGAAATGAATCGCAGTGAATCGTGAATCGGTACAAACCTGTGTAGTTTTTGGTGTGTATCTGTAGAAGCTGTAGTTTTACGATTGATTAACCGGTGTTGGGTAGCGCAAAAATTCTATTCTCGATTATGTTAGGAAGGCCTCCGGCATTTCACGCTGCAGATGATTCCCCGTACAGGTCTGCACACTTAGTTTGCTAGTTATACATAAGTTGGGTTAGCGTTTGGTTAATTGGATTCCCATTGAGAGTGCCGCGAACGCCGCCAGTGCAACTAGGAATCGAAATCATGTTTTCCCTCCATTCGATTGAACGGGGAGTGCAAGACCCAAAAGTCGTTATACTGAACGCGCGCGCACACTCACACTCACCCATTCATTCTCTCATGTTCTCAGAAAATCGAGCACTTATTCGCTTCTAATGGGTTCAATCGGTTTTGCTATTTTTGCCTTCAGTTGCAAACTCTACCGCTAAGCTGGAGCAGTGCACTTTTAGCCAATTAGTTAGTTGCATTCAGTAGGAGGGGGGGGGGGGACTTTTCCTTGTGGGTTGAAAATTAAACTGATAAGGATACTCTGGGAATGGGGTTTCCCAACCGGTACTTAAATCATTTTTATTGAACACGTAGTCACTTTCTCGCAATGACAATGAGCTGTTTGTTTACTTCTTATCCTAACGATACTGATGAGTAATTCTGAAGGATTATGCCTTACTCCTAACGCAACGTTCGCGTGAATGTGTCAATACTTATATGCTATTATTTGAAGAATGAAGGATGATAGAGAGCATTTTTTGCTTTGGAATTGAATAAGCTTCCAGAGAGGAGATCAGCAGAAGCGCTTTTCTCTAATCGATATCAATAATTTACCGCTCGCTCCTCTCTTTATAAGTGCCAGGGGTTAAATTGGAGCAATTATTTCGGGAAATGCTAATCGAATCATTTTTCACAATCTGATCGAGATGAAGAAATCAAGTAGGAAGGCGGGAGAAATGAGCTCAATTTACAACAAGCGTAATGATGGCGATGATTAAAAAAGGCAATCTTAGTCAAGTCGATTGATGGGCTGAAGCTTAAAAACTAAGGGCGTAGAACAAATCTCGTGTCAGTTTTTAATTCCTAATATCATTGATTGATTGTAACATTTACATGATGAAGAACTTCAAGCGTGTTTGTACACAAATATCTAGTTAAATTCCGTTTAATCATTCATCACACATCTAATGTATAAGGCGTTTGATTTGAGCTTTTCCGATTAAACAAAAAAAATCTTAAACTGGACGGAAATGGTTAGTCTATTCGCGCGCGCGCTCTCTTCGCTACACACATACACATTGATTGTTAATGGCATGATTACGCATATAAGCTGACTGAAAAAGAGCAGAGCGGGAAAAAAAGAGAAGAGAGAAGAAAAAACCGAAAGTCAGTTCTGGTTGAATTATTTCGATGACTTTTGTATGGAAAAGCGTTAGAAAACGAACGAAAAAATATGGTCGAATTTGCGCAACCAAAAGGGTTAATGGAAATGAACGAGTAAATCTCAGTATGGCAGCGGAAGTATAGACAGAGCCGAAAACATGTACGAAACGATTTAATAAATTTAGATTTAGAGTTTGGAGAATTAGTTGCCAATTCCAGGGAAATCGGAGGGGAATTTTGATTCAGTGTGGAAGTACTTCACCGATTTTAGATGTTCTCATGGAGACGCATGGTGTTTTGCGGTTTTCCCGCAAGGGGGAAACAAAATAGTATGTACAGAGAATGCCGAAAGATCCAAATTGTCACTCACCTCGGAAGCACCATCTGCCGGTGGCCCGGGCCATAATGATCAGCGCAATGGCCACCAGTACGATGAGGGCAGCGAGCACGATGCCGATGATTCCGCCCACTCCGACGCCACCGGATTCGTCCACCTCGGCGTGATTGGCGCTGAGCAGAACGATATAGTCCTGGGAGCCAATCTGATTCGAAGCACGCAGGTGGTACTGTCGATGGAGATCCTCCAGCGTGAGGCCAGCGATTGTGAGCGTTACGTTGTAGGCACCGGTTTCCTGGAAATAAATAAAAAAAAAGGAATCAATAATCAGAATTGGGCGTTTGAAATCTAGAAACGCGAATAGGTAATGTAATTTTCAGAAATAGCGAAGACGTCATTGTGGTATATTATGTTCTATGTGGAACAATAATGATAGAAACTTGATAAAGGGTGATACGGTCAAAATTTGGTCAATATCAACTTGACGTATTTCTTTCAATTTTGCATTTAAAAAACCTGAACACCCCTCATTTTGAAGGTGTGTGTGTGTAGAATGTTGCTTCTATTTTGATTTTGGAATTCACTCTTCAGTTGTCAAAATGCCGTCCAAGCAAGAAGAGCAGCGTATCAAAATGTTGCTCGCGCATCGCGAAAATCCGAGCTACTCACACGCAAAGTTGGCAAAATCGCTAAAAGTTGCCAAATCAACCGTTACAAATGTAATTAAAGTGTTTGGGGAACGTTTGTCGACAGCCAGGAAGTCTGGATCGGGGGGAAATCGAAAACCGGAAGCCGCTGAGACGACAAAGAGAGTTGCCGGTAGTTTCAAGCGAAACCCTAACCTCTCTCTCCGAGATGCCGCAAATAAGCTGGGTGTATCGAGCCGGACTATCGACTTACAAGAAGGTAGTGACTCCAAATCGCGATGATAAACAAAATACGACGGCCAAAGCGCGATCCCGGAGGCTGTACACGACGATGCTGACGAAGTTTGACTGCGTGGTAATGGACGACGAAACCTACGTCAAAGCCGACTACAAGCAGCTTCCGGGACAGGAGTTTTATACGGCAAAAGGAAGGGGAAAGGTAGCAGATGTTTTCAAGCACATGAAACTGTCAAAGTTCACAAAGAAATATCTGGTTTGGCAAGCCATCTGTACCTGTGGCTTGAAAAGCAGCATTTTCATAGCTTCCGGGACTGTCAACCAAGAAATTTACGTGAAAGAGTGTTTGAATAAACGTCTGCTGCCTTTCCTGAAGAAACACGGTTGTTCCGTACTGTTTTGGCCGGATTTGGCATCTTGCCATTACGGTAAAAAGGCCATGGAGTGGTACGCCGCCAACAACGTGCAGGTGGTTCCCAAGGACAAGAACCCTCCCAACACGCCAGAGCTCCGCCCAATTGAGAAATACTGGGCTATTGTCAAGTGGAACCTAAAGAAGACCAAAAAAACTGCTAAGGGCGAGCAGCAGTTCAAGGCAAACTGGCTTTCTGCGGCGAAGAAGGTGGACAAGGTGGCTGTACAAAATCTGATGGCAGGGGTCAAGCGTAAGGCCCGGAAATTCGGATTTGGAAAAGCGGAAGCCTAACTGAATATTTTTCCTGAATTTTATACTAATTGAACTTGAAAAAGAAATTTAATTTGATTTTTTAAATAAACGATTTCACCGATTTACACGCGTTTTCCCTTGACCAAATTTTGACCGTATCACCCTTTAGTTAACTCGAGTAATGAAACGCTAAATTTTAGTAAAATCTAGTTGGCGTGAAATATGATAGAGGTGATAGAAGAGACGCAGTTATCAGCCAATTAAGAAATGATAGTTCCAGCTAGAGAGGGTCTAATATGAGTGTACCCCATTAGGCATAAATACGTTAGGCATACGGACGTTAGGCATACGGACGATAGGCATAAAATACCTTGCTGCTGTGCAACTCTAGAAACCTGTTTCGAGCATGGTAAACAATGCTTAAATTGGGCTAAGTGTTGAATAAACAATGATACAAGTCAAACAAGCACAGTTTGGAATCCATTATTTCTCATATCATAAGTGACGTAGCTACATATATACTTAGATCCAAGATTAGTAGCGATAGCGGTTAAGTAATCTGGCAATGAAAACTCAGCATATTTTTGAACTATATCTTGAAATCAATCGTATCTAGAAAAAAAATCACACATTTGTGGTAGTATATTCTTACACACATATTGCAATTGTCAAAAAAGAAAAGGTTTTCCTCAAAGAACATCTCATGAAATGAAGAATGGTGAATTCTGTGGTTTTTCATTCAATAACAAAAAAACATACCTGCTGCTTCCAGGATTTTCTGCCATTCTTTTCGATACAATGATTCTGTTTTTGTCGTCATCAGAATGAAAACTAGCGGAACCGTCTGCTGATGTGAGGGAGCGATACTTCCATGAACAGTGACGAGTTGCCGAAACAAACAAGGAACTGTGGAAAATGTACCATCTGTCACCCAATACTTTGCCTGTCCAAGACATCGCAAGTATTCTTGAGTTCCAAAAATTAAGGCTCTTTCATTTATTGTCACCGAAGTCAGCAATCAATAGACGGTCCCCATTATCATCCTTCTGGAATTCATCGGGTAGATTATGCCTAACGTCCTTTATGCCCAACGTCCTTTATGCCCAACATCCATTATGCCTATCGTACATTATGCCTAACGTCCGTATGCCTAACGTCCGTATGCCTATCGACCGTATGCCTAACATCGTGTACCCGTCTAGTATAAGAGAGGAGCGGACTGGCTGGTTTTGAGCCAAACGACCTGTCAAAGCCAGAGCCAATCGAGCAGCGCCTATCTTAATTACATTGGCAGTGTTGCTAGAATTCACCTAGGCATAGGTTGCCAAGGCAGTTTGTTTTGAATCCGCTCCTTTCTTAAACAAGACCCTCTCTAGTTTCAGCAATGAACCACTACAAGGCCGTTAAGGCGTTGCTGAGCAGAAAACCATGGAGTATTTCTCACACGATATTGAGGCGAACAATCCGCGCAAGGTGGTCTTGTGCGGCCTTCCCGAAATGGAAACAGTCACACTGTCGGATGAATTGAATCAACATGGAATCAAGCCGATCCAAATATTCAAGATGAATCGTCATGACGCTTCACGTAAGTACCGTGACCAGCTGTATCTGGTCCACCTGGAAAGTTTTTCAACATGCTTGAAGGACCTCCAGAGCATTTGGGCCATTTTCCACATCGTGGTGATTTGATAACAGTACAATTCAGTCCACCATGATGTCATCCAATGCGCGAACTGCATGCTGTTCGCGCAGGGAACGAGAAACTGCCACACGGCTTTCAGCTGCAACAATTGTGGCAAGCAACACGCACCTAGTGCCTGCGAAATATTGGAGGAAGCAGATCCCAAATGTCAATTGTGGTACCGCACATCGGGCAACCAGCAAGAAATACCCGAAGCGAGCGGAATTCATTGTTATCCGCAATAAAGGCCATTGTCACCGATGTCACGTCACGGTGAAGTGACAACTTATTACTCACGGTGAAGTGATTCCCATTTGATTTACACGGCAATCACTTCACCGTGAGTGACAAGTGGTAACTTCACTTCCTTTTCACCGTGAAGTGACCCTCGTAATATTTAAGGCCCAAAGTCACTACGAAGAAACAACCTGGCCGCAGCAGAGTGCTGGAAAATAACGGACAGAACTTTCATGCCATCCTGTAACGGCCGCAAATTCCGGTGCTTCCGCCAATTCCACTCAAAACCCAATTTGCTGTTGCTGCATCGATCCCGCCAATAGCTGAGATGGATAACACTCCAGTAAACTCAATTCTTCGGCAACCGCTGCATCCCGAAGAACCTCTCCACCTCCGGGGATATCGTGGCAGAACTTAGCTGCTCCCCTTCACCAGCGGTCAAGAATGCTGACACTTTGCTTACATCGGCAGAACTTGTTACACTCGTGACAGAAGTCATCATGATCCAGAGCACCTGCAGGATCCGAACAGAACAGATTCATGCTGCAGTATCCTTCATTAATAAGTATGGACCGTGAAGCCATCAAAATTGCCAATCGGAACGCTTGTTCGCTCAGGAACAAGAGCATCGAGTTCGTTGAATTCCTCAACGAACGAAACATCGATATCGCCATCATCCCCGAAACGCACCTGAATCCCGAGATTACCGTCTTCATTCCCGATTTTCGGCTTGTGAGGCTGGACCGAACCAGCTCCGGGGGAGGAGGACTGGTCATCGCTCTAAGGAGGAACATGAACTGTCGGCTGCTGCCGAGCTTCCAGCTGAATATCATCGAAGCCGTAGGGTTGAAAGTTTCTACTCCTGTTGACCCCATCACCATCATTACTGCCCCAAACAAGTCAACATCAGGTACGGGTTGGCAGCAGACCAGCGGCGAGATATTCCCAACAAACAATTTGAGCCGATTAAAAGCTGAATAAGCCAAGTATTAGCAGAAGAAACTAATTTTGGCATGTATAAGCTCATATTCAGTATTCAATGATTGTGTTGTCAAGCTAACACGACGCACAGTGGAACAAAATCAAAAATAGTGGGACATGGCTATTGGCGACGAAACTAATGAGTGTAGCATTTGATGTCTTTTAAAATGTTTATTAATTTTTGAGTACTTTAGTTGAGTAGTGAACATTTTTGCTTAAAGGGGGTGTACACTAAGATAAAAAAATAACATTTTTATGTCTTGTTGAAATTGATGTGGAAACATTGTAAATGAAGACATTTTAAGAAACTTTGGCGAACTCGTCAATTTTCTATCTCTCAAGTGAACGAAGTTATGGAGTGAAAATGGAGTACAAACGCTAGTACCCCCTTAAAAACCGTTGTTTTTTATCATAACTTTTGACGTAGGGCTACGTCTGTGATTTCTATATAGGGGTACACATTGTGCAAACAGAAAATGGAACATGTAACAAAATTATGAAAGATTTTGAACGTTAATAACTCAGCTGCTCCTGGTCCAATTTCAATAATGTTATCACCATTCGATCAGAAATATTTCTACGCAACTGAAAAATTCAAGACATTATCATTCTTTAAAATGTCACTATTGAAAATTGCAACTGTTCCTATGATAATTAAAATTATCACCGATTGCCTGTGAAAAGCGATTTCCCTAACACAGATTTCAAAATTGAATTCCATCCGGTCTCACCAAACAGCTGTTATTCGATCATCCCGTGGTGAGTGGTGGTGTTCTCCAGCACACAACGAAAGCCTACCCACAAGCAGCCAGCTATCAAGACTGCCCTCAGCCGCTGATCGGATT